CCAAATAGGAGGTACAAATCTGGCAAGCAATAACACTAAGAGCCTTGCCAGAAAAAAATCAGACAGGAATTTACAGTGCAATAAGGCATCAAAAAACAAAAAAGACCCAAGAGCCCTAGCAATTTAGCCTCTGGAATGAACACATTATAAGAAAGACAGTGACATGTTAGGGGAACTCAGAGGAGGAGAATAACATTTATTAGAGGCAGCAAGAACGGTCTTCTGGGGAAATATTCTAAATATGCATATTGCAACAGGATACAATCAGGATACAAAACCCACTGAAGTCAATGTAACGATTTCCATTGACTTCAATGAGGTTTGGATCAGACCTTAAGAAAGAATCTTTGCTGGAATTCCATAGCATCTCAGGATCTTCCAGACGGCTTCTCAGGGGCCACTATCAAATGCTTTTGTAAAATCAAAGACGTTAAAAAAACATCTTCTGCTGGTATTTAAAACCTTTTTCAGTAAGTCTTCTCAAGGTGTAAATCTGGTCTGAACACTACCTACAACAAGATCAAAATCTAGTCTGTTCTTCCCAGAGTACTTACCAGCTATTTTCATCCTACTCAAAATAATAATGCAAAACACTTTCCAGGTACAAACCAGGTCCCGTTAACACAAATTAACTGGTCACCCTTTTTAGGGATTTCTACAGATGACACCTTCTCCAGTCTTTAGGGCAGCTCTCTTGTCCCCAAACATTCTGTACAACCTGCACATAATAATTCACCATCACTGCTTCTCCAGCTTTTAACATTTCAGCATCTATCTTATCATACACTGGGGGAGGGATGACTCAGTGGTTTGAGCATTGGCCTGCTAAACCCAGGGTTGTGAGTTCAATCCTTGAGGGGGCCACTTAGGGATCTGGGGCAAAATCAGTACTTGCTCCTGCTAGTGAAGGCAGGGGGCTGGACTTGATGACCTTTCAAGGTCCCTTCCAGTTCTAGGAGATAGGATATCTCCTATTTTTTTTTTTAATTTGTCTTACCCCTTACCACTCTTCAGTTACTTCCTCAAACGCTTTTACTTCTACTGATATAGGTAAGTCTGCTATTTCTTCGGTTCCATCAATGTGTTAAAGATTACCAGGCTGTACTCAACCAGCTAGAACGTTCCATCCAATGGTCTTTCGGCCCTTCCTCTGTGGTTAAAACTTGTACCATCTTGAGCCTTCACAATGCCACAACAGTTTAAGAGTTGTGATGACAGTTGTCTGGAGACTAGAAAAAGCTTTTAAGAATCTCTTCTCTTGTATGGCTCCTTGGCTTCTATTACTTTACTTTCCATCCATTCTCTCACCTCTTCTGGCTGATTTTTTAGCTTCCCTGTTTTTGTCTGCATACTCTTGTTGCAGAATAGCTCTTTTGCTGAAGTCTCATTCTTACTGAATTCGCTTAATTCTTTCCTCTTTTCAACAAGCCTCTGTGTATTTGGTTGGAGCTATTCTTTTCTTAGATCTTCTTACCTCTACTGTGATCCTGGTAGCATTCACAATTACTTCTTTGAAAAACTGTCACTGTTCTTCTATGACCATCCACGTCTTCAGCTATTCAGATCTATTGCTAAACTGCAGCTTAAATGCGTCTTCACTTCTGGATCCACTAACTTTCTAGTATCGTACATATCCTCTACCTCACACGGTGTTACCGGCTTTAGTTTTGATTGTTCCAATAACAAGAACTCGGCACTTGTGTATACCCTGGCATCCAACATTGATCTCCAGAGCATATTGATGGCAATATGATCAAGCTGTTTCTGGGTGAAGCCATAATTTGATGTCCATGTCAGTTTGTCTCTTTCCTCACATGGAAACAGTGTATCCCCAGTACAAAGACTGTTTAGGCTGCAGAGCTGGACAAAATATTTTCCATTGTCAATCTGCCCTGGGATGCCATGTCTGTCCATAATGCACTCATATCCAATATTACTGCCACCAACCTGTGGATTTAGCTCTCCCATGAGGTTAACAACGTCGTAAGTACTGATCTTGCCAAGAATGCTCTGCAAGCTTACATAGAAACATCCTGATCTGTTCATCGGTATAACTTGTTGGCACATAACACAACATCTGTGACTTTTTGCATGGTTCATCACAAAGCGTGCAGTCAATATTCTAGAGTTACAGGTTCCCATTCTTCAGTGCTTTAACAGCTTCCTTGATTTGTAAGAAGACTATGCCTTCCTGGTGTGTCATCTTCTCTTCCAGATTATAAAACCATCATATCTTCCTATGATAATTTGCCTCATCTAGTCCATCTCATCTCACTCAGTCCAAGTATACTTACACCAAAGATTTACATTTCTGTGATAATCTTTATCAGCCTCCCTGTGCTCCAAAGTATTCTAATAGCCCAGAATCCAATTCTTGTCTTAGCCCACAGAACTCACCAAGCCACATGAAGCTACCCGTACTATTAGTTCAGATTAATGAATTAACTGAACATTTGTTATACACATTACTTATATAAAAATCATACTTGTGCTCCAGCTTATTAAACAGCTAGAATTGGGTTTGCATTATGTGTCTCCTCATTATTAGTGTAGATATAGAGAAGATGTAGTGTAATGTTCTGAAATGCATACAGAGAGGTAGACTACAGGAGAAAATATTATCACTTATTTCTCTATACATCTCTAGCACAGTGGTCTCACCACATTCCATAATCTTGCATGTACAAATGCAAAGTACTGGGATTCAGATAACGGCACAAATATTACTTGCGTGTCTTACAGTCTTCACAACTAGAAAGCAGTTAAACAAAAACCATCAATCGAAAAACAGAAGGTAAACTGTCTACAATCTCTAAAGGTTGTAAAATGGAGCAACTCTATCTAAAGGTAAAGCGAGATCAATGCCTGCTTGGAGAAGGTAATTGCTCAAATAGTGTGGCAGTTCTGAAAAACTACCATAAATTCTGATGCTTATCTAAATCAAATCTTTTGATATTTGTCCATCAACATTAAAGCCTTAAATAATGGCACTATAATAAACAATTAATTTAAGAGAAGAAAAATCACGCAATCACCCTTCCTGTAAGGGAAAGTTAGAGTTGCAGGAGAAGTGTCTGAACAAGCAAGTTCATTATTGAGAAACACCACTTTCTCCCAGCTCCGCTGTCAAAATACAAAATGACAACAAAGCCCATTTGTAATTTGTCTTCATTAAGTTGTGTTCAGGCACTGAGGCTCAAATCCTTAAGTGTCATTTTGTAGTTTTGTCACCTTAAACCTTTTCAAAAAAATTTTTTCCTGTGGAAACTTAATATTGTGTATGCACTCATAGCAACAATGTTCCATATAATCTTTATGTGTGAATATGAAAATCTAATCAGATTAATGGTCTATGCAAACATATAGATTGTGTATCTCCTTAATTTTCTTTCCTCCAGGTGGCAGAATTATATTTAACTTGAAGTAAAATCCCTCCTTGAACGTAAGTTGAACAAGCGTAGGTAACATATTTCAGGTTTAAAAAAGTCTATTACATTTTAGAGGATTAAATGTAAAAAAGTAAGATAAAATAATAGGAGTATCCAATTCTAGGATTGTAATGATGAAAGTACCTTCAACCATTCAAAAATAGCAACTTTTCATTTAAGCTGTCTCCCATTTAAAAGGCTCCATATACTATGGCATCATGCCAAATCTTACAAAGTCCCCCTCTTTAAAAAAAACTGCTTTTTGGTATTCTACCATTTAATCTTCTCTATTAAATATTTTTTTTAAAGTTTAACTGTTTGTTCTGCTAAATAGTAATAAAAAGCCACCACATTTTTCATGCATTACTTATTCCAAATTATTCTTTTTCCTTCAAAACATGATTTGGAGAGAATGTTTGACTTATTTTTAAGACCATATGTAGCATCTCAAATGTAATAAATACGGATAATGATACCGCTATGCAATTTAATTTTGCAAATGTAACTTCTAAATGTATTTCACCTGATTTCCTCTTATACGGATGTTCTCAATTTTGTATCCCAATCTATACTTTCGAGGTCTGCTCTTCCAACTCTGTGATAGGAACCATCAGAGCAGCACAAGGAAGCAGACAAGCAGAGTCCCTGTTGCTTTACCTGTCAGAAACAAAATGTACTGTTCCACCTTGCCTTTTCCCCCATAAGGTGATATCTTGGGAGACGTACATTTAGGAAGAATAGCAACTGTTTGCTAAGTTAGGGAGAAGGGGCCTTCTGGGAACAAGCAGTCACAAAAAGATAACCTACTATGAGGAAGGCACTTCCCTCAATTCACTATTTCATTCCTGCCACTGTATTTCAGAATTGGTGTAATCATTTTACTGAGCTCAATACATGGGAGACATTCAAATCAAAATATTTGTAGGAATGTCTTTAACAAATACTGTACTTTGACTTGTGTAGTAACTAAACACCATAATCTTTTTTCTTATATTCATATATTCATTCACTTTTCCAGGAAGTATGATCATGAATACCGGATGAATAGGCATTTTATACCAATCTTCATTCAGTGGCTCTAAGCCAGGGTGGAGAAACTGACAAAAACCTCATATCCATAGACACTAAAACTAAGCTGACAAGTTCTATTGTTGCCTAGAAGTTATTTCCTATTATTTTCTCTCCTGCCTACTATTCTTCATTTGAGGCTGTCATTGTTAGACCTAGAATCTAAAGTTCACAAAAGCAGACTGGCAATTATTAGTTCATTAGAATAGATTTATATACCATAATACCATACTGAAAAGTTTCATAAGAAAAACCTATTGTGTCTTTAAAATATTCTGCAGTAAAATTTAGTGTTGACAGTCTACCATTTTCAGCCAAACTTTATGCCAACATCTAAACCAATACAAACAACACGTGAAAATTGTTCTGAAGTTCCTTTGTGTGAGGATACCCCCCACTTCCACAGTATTTTATTATACTAAACGCAAAACATTTACTTCTCTATTTTTCCTGAACATTTTTTTATTTCTGATTAAAATTAAAAAGCCTTAATAAATACCATACCATCAAGACTGCATAGTTACTGAGGGAGTAGCACTGAATGGTGGTAATGTTTTCATCTGAAGAGATAATGTGACATCCATCAGACTTCCATCCTCCCTGACCATTGAGCAAATCAAAGTCCCATTGTGCCGCAACAGCATCTGCTCCATGAGCAATACGTCGCAGTGTCACGTTAATAGCAATGTGGTGACTGGCGAGGCTTAAACCATCTGTTTGGAAAAAAAAATTATGGAATTGATTTTATATAAAAATGTTTAATTTTCAACACACTGTAAATATTAATGTTGGATAATATCTGATTCTTAGAGGTGCACTAATTGAAACAACATTAGCACACCTCTTGAATATAATGTCAAGGATCAGGCTTCTAAAGCTTTGATATTTTTCTAAGGTCATACAAATGTAATAATAACCAAAAACAAACCTATCTTGGTGAGAATAACTGGTGTTACTACGGTACGTCGTTTCCCATCATCTGCCAGATTTGTTGAATTTCCTGTTGCTGGGAAAAGTTTTCCATTGCGAAATGCAATAAGTTGAAGCTTGTAGATGGACTCATTTGCTGGCCTAATTTCTCTTTTCTGCTTTCGTGTAAAAAGGGAGGGTGGCAGTTGAATAGAAGCCTCTACAATAGTGTTCTATAAACAAACAGATTTTAAGAAGTATTAATCTCTGAACAAAAAAGGGATTTTTTGGTCTTATTTAGCAGTTCCTCCAATTCATCAGTGTTGGGCTTCCTTCCTCGCAACAGTGTCCGAAGGAAACAAAGTTTATACAGAGCTCAGGACTGTAAACTCTAATTATTTTTTTGGACGGAGAAGTGCTTCAAATAATCCACCAAAACATGCTTTAACTAAAAACCTTAACACACCTTTAATATGGAATTATTTGTTAATCATTGCCAGAAGCTGGGAATGAGTGACAGGGAATGGATCACTTGAGGATTACCTGTTCTGTTCATTCCTTCTGGGGCACCTGTTGGCCACTGTCAGAAGACGGGATACTGGGATAGATGGACCTTTGGTCTGACTCAGTATGGCTGTTCTTATGTTCTTAAGATGGTGGGAGATTTTGTACATAGTTACCTTTCTGGTAGCCAGTAAAGCTCAAATTGTTAACAAAAAGTTCCTACAGTCATAGGCGCCGACTTCCTCTCTACATTGGGGGGAGGGGGTGAAAAAGGGGTGCTTGACCCCCTCCCACTCCGACTCAGGCCCCACCCCCATTCCACCCCTTCCCCCAAACCCCTGCCTCTTCCCTATCCAGTTCTGCCCCCACCCCTGTCCCAGCACCTCCTGCAAAGCTGAAACGCGGCTAGTGGGAGGCGCTGGGAGGGAGGGGGAGGAATTGATCAGTGGGGCCACTGGCGGACGAGGCACTGAGGGGAGGGGTGGGAAGCTTGGCTGCCGGTGGGTGCTAAGCACCCACTAATTTTTTTCTTTGGGTGCTCCAGGGCTATGCCAGTCAGCGCCTATGCCTAATGTTTTGGGAGATCTCTTGGGAGCTAGACATGACAGGCAAGGCCAAATGCCAGACATGCACACAGGCAGATGTAAAGGTAAATGCTGTAATTGTTTCATTTGGAGCAGTATTATCAGTGCTTGAATTACAGGAGGGACTTAAGGGGGCCGAGCCCCCTTACTACTTTTAGGAGCTACACCATTCTTATTCAAAAGGCACCGGGGGACATGTTTGGCTCCCTTATTTCTTCCCTGGCAGAGTAGAGAATAGCAGCGTAAGAGTCAGCCAGAGGATACCCTGGCACCTCGTTCCATGTTGCCTGCAGGACTGCTCGTGCAGGGGGGTCCTACCTTTTTCCCCCTCATAATTCAAGCACTGGGCATTATCTACAATTTTGTACACAAGTTATTGGTACAGTACAGATCTGCAGTGAAGGTCCAATATATTAAGCAATAATGGCAAATTGATAAGCTACACTGGCATTTAATGACAAATGGATTTTCCATGGAGTCAGAGTTAAGTACTTTCCCTTATATATAGACAAATGAATCTGTCAGAGTTGTTTTCTAGTTTGTACTCCTTCACACTGTCAGTATTTATCTAGATATGTATATGTCCTCAATCACCATATGAGACACACTTGTTTAGACTGTGTGTCAAAGTAAAAAATTTGAGTTAAGTCAATGTATCTTAAAAGGTAACTTATTTTAACTTGCAACAAAGAGTCCTGTGACACCTTATAGACTAACAGACGTACTGGAGCATAAGTATTCACCCACGAAAGCTTATGCTCCAATACGTCTGTTAGTCTATAAGGTGCCACAGGACTCTTTGTTGCTTTTTACAGATCCAGACTAACACGGCTACCCCTCTGATACTTATTTTAACTTGAAAGTTAAGTGTAACATGCAGATAGCATACCAAAATAAATGTACTGAACATTAAAGAGAGGTCAGGAGGTAATTCAATTTCCATGCTGCTGAAATACTGTACATGTCTAATGCCTTGTCTACACTACACAGTTCTGTCAGCAAAAGAGACATGAGGCATTGCAAATTCTTCCCAAAGCACCCTGCAGCTAGTTGCACATTGGGATCGCTACCCACAATGCACTGCTCTCTATGTTGATACAAGAGCTTCCAGTGTAGATGTACTCTGCCAACACAAAGAACATAGTTTGGACATACAACAAAGGCATAACTTTTGTCGACAAAACTCTATAGTGTAGATATAGCCTGAGAGTATGGTGGCGGAGATACTTTTTGTTAAATGTAGACACCAGTCCGTTAAGAATTGTTTTGAGTAATTAAGCCAAAAGCAACACAAAACCAACTTCTTTATTCCTCTCGTAGCTTCTCTGCCCTTGTTCTTAAATAATTGTTCTGTATTACACTGCAGTAAGAATATTTTAACATTGGAAACTTAATTTAAGCCCGCTTTCCAACCAATTAATCTCTAATTAAGTCTTATAAGTCAATATAGAAACAATAAGCGTCAGACCTTTAATGCCAAACTTGACAGTGTATTTGAAACATTGCACTTAAAGCTTAATTGCTTATCTAGGTTTCCATCTGGATCTCTTCTCCCATAGTCAGAAAGTCCTGTACGGTCTGATGCAGCCACTTTCTGAAATACAGTGCATGTCATCCCAGTGAAGCCAGTTGCCTTTATTACATAAGCCTCCAGAGCAATATTTGGAGAGTACTGTGACAAGAAAAATCATATAGACATTAAATAACTTTATACCACATAAAAACAAACAAACAATCTTCAAAGGATTCTGCACATTAATTTTATACAAAGACCAGAAAAGCATTCTGTATAACTGTCAGGTTAATTTGGTCAGAATATTTTTTTTTCCTTTTAGGAATTCCAAATATTCTAGACCTCAAAGCACAAATCAGACAATGTCAAAATCTATTAAATATGGAAAAAAAACACATTTCAAAATAAATCAGAAATGTTTACTTTAAATTAAGGAACTTTATGCTTACTGTTGAGTAAACTTGAGCCCCATTTGCTAGTCGATACATAGCAATTCTCTGTAAACATTGTACAATTCTAGTGCAAGCTTTGGCCTCTCTCTGTGACATCCACAAAACACGTTCATCAGCTAGCATAATGTTACTTGCAATGTCCACCATCACATCACCAAGCTAGTACGAGACACAAATAAGAAAACACCAAATAAGAAATCTGTCAGCTTTGGTAATTCGTCTTTTGGCACATCAATAAGAAGCATAAGATCCTTTTAAAGCCAGAATTATTAGAAACCCAATACTACTGTCAGCATCTTAAAAAAAACAAACAATTGCTCCCACATCAACCATTATTTGTCAGGTATGAGTTACTGGAATGGCTTTTAAGAGTCAGATATTTACCTCACTGTAGCATTACTTTTAAGACAATATATTTTGTTTTCCCCTTCTGTCAGTTAAATGCAGTACTATACTCCAAAAGCAAAACTGCACGAGACATTTAAGAGGGCTACCATCCACTTCAACTTTAATCTATTCAATAATTAAAAGTAGTTTTCGGTGGTACTCCTAATACCCAGACATGGTCAATTCTGGTAGTTTTGAGTTTTTCTTTTTCCCCCCTCCTCTCTTCTGCCACAACCTTCCACCCTCCTCTTCCCCCTGGCCCTGGAAATTTACTAATTTAGACCCCAAACCTGCAAACGTATATGCACATTCTTAACTTTGAGCACTGCCAACAGCTCTGTGAAGTGAAGGACACCTGTAAGATTTTACAGGATCAGTGCCTCATACAGAGGAATCAGCCACACAGACTATACATGAATGCTGTCAGATGAACAAAAACAAATAAAAAAAACCTGACCTCTTTCAGTTACTGTAATCTGGGGTGTTACTTTTTAACAATGGCAGGTAAGAAGACAGCAGTGGGATTTTTAAGCTTTTCAAACAAGAAAGTCCATACCTGAAATTGAAGATTTGCCACATCTTTTCCACTGCTCTGCTAGGGACTGATGCTGCAAGGTGCTGAGCACCCTCAACTGCCAGTGAAGTCAACAGAGAGAGGGCGGCACTCAATACTTTGCAGGATCAGGCCCTTATTTAATAAATATTTCTGAAATCAATCAAAACTAAATCAAATGGATAAAATGCTTATTAATTTCGTTATAAAACATACCACTTCTTTAAGTCTGTTGGTTAAACTGATAATTTAATGTAAAAGTAAACAAGAAATTCCTAAAATTACAGGAATCAAACTTCATCGATTCTCTCTGCATAAATCATGAAATTATTATAAAGTCACACTCGCCCACTGTTTCGTCAATATCACCAAGAGTTTTCTTAAAATGTTTCTAAGCCTTGATGATATCTTTTTCTCTCCCCCCCGCCATTCTCTAACGTGGAATAGTCGAACACAGACACCCCCACCCCCGAATGTTTGTTTTTTCTAGTGGACACCTGACACTGAGGAGGCGATTAAGATTACAATTCATATATTCTACATCTTTCAGACTATTCAAACTGCACAATGAAGAGCCATTTGAAAACATATTTCATATATTTTCAGCTCTACATTTTAATTAATTCCAGGTAAGCAATGTGTAGTGATTAATTTAAAACTTTATTTTTATTTAGACTAAAGGAAGATTATTAAATGTATTGGCTATTCATGCTAGAGAATGGGCTAACACTTGCAACTTTCCAACATACCAACAAATCAAACAGGTTTCACTAAATACGGTTAAAAAACCAAAAACGAACAATACATCATCTAACAGAGGAACTTCAGCTACTATTAAAAACACTACCTATGAATTTAACGTTGACAGTTTTATCGCTTTTATTGCCTTCAAGTAGTGGCAGAGTGACACCAGATTGACAAATCATTGCTGAGAAAACAATACCCTTATAATATAATAAATCATGCAACAATCCATATTTTAGGTTAGGTAAGAAAAACAGTCATTTAATAAATTACTTTATTTCACAAACGTATAGAAAAATTAAATTTAGGACAAATTAACTGAGCTATGTATTTAAAAGGGAACTGCAATGTGAAAATCCTCCAAAGAGTTTTACTGTGAATTTTTAGACTACATTATTTGTTCAGTATGTGCATGGGTTGGGGGTGTTTTTTGGCCAAGCTCCAAATTATTGCACTGTGATCTCCAACTTTCCAACATGCACTGAATAGTGAGATGCAGACCACTGTTCAGCAGAGAAACAGAGTTTCTACCCACTTCCCCTCAACAATAAGCACTCTCTAAGATATTATTTTACTGTCTTTAATCCCATAAGATATAAGAGGACTGAAAAACCTTAGGGCACGTCTTCACTACCCACCGCGTCGGCGGGTAGCAATCGATCTATCGGGGATCGACTTATCGCGTCTAGTGAAGACGCGATAAAATTGATCCCTGATCGCTCTGCCATCAACTCCGGAAATCCTCCGCGGCAAGAGGCGGAGTCGACGGCGGAGCAGCAGCAGTCGACTCGCCGCCGTCCTCACAGCCAGGTAAGTCGACCTAAACTACGCAACTTCAGCTATGCGAAGTTGCGTATCTTAGGTCGAACCCCCCCCTCCCCCCCGCCCCCCCAGTGTAGACCTAGCCTCGGAGATACAGCTCAATATTGAATAAAGTCAGGGTATCTTGGGGGGGAAAGATAAGTCTTGTTTTATTCATTACTGAGAGGATTTCTGAGGTTTTCATTATTCATCTTTTTATATAAAATCATCCTAATGAAAACCTGGGTGACCCACTCTATACTAAATAAAACCAGACTTACTGTACCTATCCCCCTGCTCCAGCGCTGACCAGAGACATTACAGGTCCAGGTCCTCATGCTGGAGGATCTCAGCATGAGTACAAAGTCTTTGACCCTAGGTCAGCAACTTCAGGAACCTACTAAACAAAGAAAAAAATGGAATAGAACCTGAAATTTGAGCTCCTCAACCTAAGGTTTAGAAGGTTTTATTATTTAAAAACAGGTATTTTTAATAAGGCAAATATTTCATCCGCTTATCTTGAAAATGGTATCAAACATTAAAGGTACCTCTTTGTACTTTTCAGCAAATCTTCCAAATTTTTCTATCATTTCAGCCACAAAAATAACATCCATCTTATCAGAAAAATTTGCTGCTTCAACAGTGTAAGCCAAAAGCTGTCTTGCTGTTGCAACTGCATTAGTAAGGTTGAGTGGCATCTATATAAAGAACAAATATGAGCACTGAAAAAGGAAAATTTAAATCTAAATACAATTTAGGAGAATGCCTGTTTCAAATTTGAGACTATTGTAAAACAAAAACAAAACCTTAATTTTTTAAATGAAGTACAATTAATACATTTCTCTTCCTTTGCACATCTATTTCCTGTGTATATAGGACAAAATTGTTTTCCAAAATTCCTAGAGCATGAAAAATATGTTTTATAGCTAGGCAAGTTAAGAGAAAGCCACAAACACCACAGCCACAATATCTATTGACATAGTTAAAATAATAGAAAATATACTTGAAATTAATGAGAGGCTCTCCCTAAAATATAAGAAAAGTTCAAGGTCGGACTCCTGCAACAAGAACCAGGCAGGCAGACTCCTGCATCCTCCCAGAGTCCTATGGACTTCCTGTGGCACTGCACAGGGTCTCATCTGCATGGTTCTCTTTGCAGCATCAGTGCCTGAACCAGTAGATTTGGAAGCATGATTTTAGAAAACAATGATAGATATCCCTAGTGTACAATAGTTCAGCAGCAATAATGCATCATTAAAAAAAATCAAGTTCCAGAGTTCAAATACTTCATATAATCTCTCTGGGCTTTTCTTTTTTTAAACCAATGAATTCATTTTTCATTAAAAGGTCACATTCATGGGGGACAGGCTAGCTCAGGGGTTTGAGCATTGGCCTACTAAACCCAGGGTTGCGAGTTCAATCCTTGAGATGGCCATTTAGGGATCTGGGGCAAAAAAATAGTTGGGGATTGGTCCTGCTTTGAGCAGAGGGTTGGACTAGATGACCTCCTGAGGTCCCTTCCAACCCTGATATTCTATGACATGTAAGTCACAGTACAATGTATATCCATCTGCCTGGATTAAGCAATATTTCCATATTTTTTCTTAAGGTAATGAAGAATTCCCTTTAACACAAAATTAATTGTAGCAGTCACATCTGAATGTTCCATTTTATTCAGTAAGGGTTTCCCTCCATTTCGGAGCCAGACCAATATTTGATTTAAACTACCAGATGTTAAAAAGATAATATATCTAGTCTCTAAATAAAGACAAAAACAGTCCAGCAAAACAAATCTTTGGGCCTGGATTTACCATGTCGGGGGGGGGGGGCCCTGTGGGTGGCATTGGGAAGGGCCAAACCTGAGTCCCTGCAATTCCACTCAGGTTTGGTTTGGCTGTCTCTCTGTCATGATGGCAGGGGGTAAGGGAGGAATGATGATGGGGCCAAAGTTAAGTGAGTGGTTTTGCAACCTGGCATTTTGGGTTGCAGGAGGAGCTGCCCTACCACAGGAGTGGGAGTGGAGTGAAGATGTGGTGAGTGGCCAGGATGTTGGGAGGCACTCAGGGCTGTGGTGAGTGGGATATATTTCAGGGCTCCTGGGATAGGTGTGGGGACTCTCAGCATAAGTGGGAGCTGGTGAAGGATTGCTGGGATATATGTGGGGTGAGAGGCATTTGTTTCTGTGTCTAGTGACCGTCTGGAGAGAGGATGCTTTGCTAAGTGGCCCCAGTTCATGTTGTGCAGGGTGGTCAACAGTTGCAGAAGAATTAGACTAGGATCACAGTGACGCTCAGGTATGCCCCATTCTCCCCTCTGTCATGGTGGGGGCAGCTGGACCAAATTTGAGTGCAGGTGTGGGGGAGGCCCAATTTCCATAGTGCACAAGGCCCCAAAACTATTTAATCTAGTTGTGAAAATCTTCTCTAGATTTCACTTGGGTTTTAATTATTAAACTTAACCGTCATGGGAGATCCAAATGTTTTCTGTGCAAAAAAACGACTAACAATTTTGCTGACCTACCTAAAATTTTGTTACACAGAAAAAGACGATAATGCTTAGATTACTTCTTCTAAAGGAATAATTAAATCACAGAGCTCAGTATTAAGATAACATTCTTGAACATTCCTTACAATTTTGACAGAGCAGAGAAATAATTATACATTTAAACATGGAAAAATCAGACCAGTAATCCTGCTTCTCTTAAGATATCCCTGACAGGATTTTCACCCTGGGTTTCAGTTTCCTAACATGAGACTTGCAGAACTCTCCCTAACCCTGAAAAAAAATATTGCTCACCAAAGAGCAGTAGTAGTAGGGTGGAATATAAGCCACGCTCCCTAATCACAAATAACACAGAGTGAGAGAAAGGAGTATCATCATCCCCATGTTACAGATGGCGAATGAAGGCACACAGCTATTAAGTGATTTTTTTCCAAAGTTACACACAGAAAGTCTGAGGTAGAGCAAGGACTTGAACCCAGATATCCTGAATTCCAGATGGTGTTTTGGTGCTAGTTTTCTAATACCATGTCGTATTGGTAACACCATTGAACCATAGTTACTGATTTTGCATGTGTAATAGTAATATTTGTAGAAGATTATAGTTCAGGCTCTCTCTCCTTGCTGTTTGCTTTTAATAGTTAATGGAAATTTATTCAGAATTTTCAGGTAAGTGTTTCATTTATAAACACCCACATAAGAGACCCATGACTGACTGCAACTCCCAGGTAAATTCAATAATTTATTTGGACAAGGTTTCAATTCTGAGTTTGAAAAACATGCAAAGAAATTGCAACAGGAATTTGGAACCTTGCAGGTTTATTTACTTGTTAAAAGTAAATGCACACTTAGACTTGAGAAGATCCAGTGTTATGTGTGTATAATTCATTTATCCAGCACTAATTTGCAAGTTGTTTCAAAATTAAAAATTAAAGTTTCCTTCTATATTTTTAGGAAGGCTCTCTCTTTTCTTCTTCTTCTTCACTTTTTGTTCATTTTCTTTAATAGAATATTTCTGGGACAAAGAATAAACAGGATTAAGTGAAAAGTAAGATTTAAGGCTGACCACATCCTGGATCATTTTCATATTACTTAAAATTTAATTTCCAGTGGAAGGACTACAGAAACTTGTAGTCTGTACTTATGTCAGATTTCCAGTTTTTCCATCTGTAAATGTTCATAATTCATAAAAAGGAGTATTAGTCCATTTCAATTTTCTGTGCAATGATATTTTGAAATTTTAATATTTCTTTTCAAGTATTAGGCATAATCGGTCACAACATTCTTACAAAACATTGGTGAGTGAGTGAGAGTGGGCATAAAGAGAACCATATTAGGCCCTGATTAGAGGTTACAAATTCCTGATTGCTGCTGTTACTCAGCACTGTTTTTCAAACCCAGAGCCCCAATTTTTGGGTGAATGATTGTCATTTAACTAACATGAGTGACACTTCACAAACGTTTATGGTTCATCATGCAGAGTGCCTACAATTACATTTACAATGGTGTTAGTTAACTCGAAGTTATTGTCAAATCAACTCTAATATCAAAGAACAAAACACTACAATCTAAACAGGGCCTGAAAGTGTCTCACAACACAAAAAACTATAGGGTAAAAAATGTACGGTATATTTTTAATTATGATTAATATCTCTATTTTTAAAGTGTACCTGCATTTGTAAATAAATATTAATGATTTACAGAATCAATAAACTGTCTACAACAAAGTGATGTTCCAAGAGTCTCTGTGATTAAATTGGAGACAAGAGCAGCTCAGAATTCAATAAGTCTGACCCAGCGCTATACTAGATTAGACAGCTAGAGTAACCTTTTACATTTTGGGGAGGATGTTTGAGGTTGAGATGTGGTGGACTAGGCCCAGAGGCCTCAGGTTCCTTCAACACCCATCCCAGGAAAGGAGCAGTACAGAGGTCCTCCAAGCGGGCTAGAGTGGCTGCAGCTAATCAGGACTCAGCAGGCCCATATAAAAGGAGCTGCAGGGCCAGAATGAGTTCAGTCTGCTGATAGGTACTGGGGAAGCAAGAGATGCTCCTTGGCTGGCTGCAGGGGCTGAAAGGGATGGACAGATCAGTTGCAGGGACTGGGGAAGCCCAAGAATAGCTCCTAGCTGGCTGTTGGAACTAAACAAGTAGTTATCGACAGGGACCGGGGTGGGCGAGGAAAGAGCTTCTGGCTTGCTGCTGGGACTCAACTAGGATGGGCTATGGGAAGTGGGCCAGGGAAACATAGAGCAGCAATTAGTAAAGGGATACAGAGCAGGGGGTGGGACCAGTTCCCCCCTTCCCCCCCCACTAGCCACTGGGAGGAAGTAGCTATGCCTTAAGGAAGAAAATTAGAACTGTGGCACCCCAGAGAAGGGGGCTGCATTGAGACTGACTCAGTGGGGAGCTGTGGTCAGCGAACTGCGAGCTTAGCAGGAAAGCTGGGGTCACTGAGGACTTTAGGAGAGGTAATGAGTCCCCAGGGAAAATGCCCTCAGAGTGCTGCTCAAGTCTGGAGTAGGAGCCTTGAAACCTAGCCAGATAGGCGCTGTTGGACTGGATAAAGACTGAACCCAGGGAGGGGTGCAGGACATTGGAGACATTTTGGATTGTGTACCCCGGAAGGAGTTTGTTTAATTTTGCATATGGACTGTGCATGACTCAGACAGAGGGCTGAGGCACCGAAGACCCACCTGAGGAGTGCAGTGGCTGACAGGGGGCAACTAGTGGAGGAAATTGAGAAAAAACTGCAGAATGCACACACTCAATGACCGGGGGTGCTCACGAGAGGTGAGTGCACCCCATTACAGAGGTTATCAGAATTCTCCAATTCGCTAAAAAAATCTGATGGCCTCTGAAAGGAAAGCTAAACCAACTTTTTGTGTAATCCCACAGGTTCCAATGTTAGGCTCTGAGCTGTGAAGTGCTAATAAAGAGACATGGTCAGATAACAAATGGTGTATACGCTGATCCAGTGAATACTAGATACTTTGTAACTAAGGCTAAGACTTCATCATGCATATTTTTAGTAAAGGTCCCCTGGGGGAGGATAGCTCAGTGGTTTGGGCATTGGCCTGCTAAACCCAGGATTGTGAATTCAATCCTTGAGGGGGCCATTTAGGGAACTGGGGTAAAAATCTGTCTGGGGATTGGTCCTGCTTTGAGCAGGGAGTTGGACTAGATGACCTCCTGGAGGTCCCTTCCAACCCTGATACTCTGATTCTATGACAGGTCACGGGCAATAAAGAAAAATTCACAGAAGCCCATGACCTATCCGTGACTTTTACTAAAAATATGCATGACAAAATGGGGAGCTGCAGGCTCCCCATCTCACCCAGGGGTGGAGGGCTCAGAGCTGCAGGTTCCCCCCCACCACCAGTGGCTCCAATCTTGGGGCACCCCCACCGGTCACGGCAGCTCTGGCTCCGTGCTCCGGGGCACCCATGCGCTCCGGGGCTGGGAGGTGTGCAGCAACCCCGGGGCGGCCCTGCTGCCCTCTGTGGCTGGGAGCTCGGGCTCCTGCAGTTCCCAGCTACCAGGTGTGGCGGGGACCCTACAGCTCCCAGGTGCCGGAGGCTCAAGACACGGATTCTGTGACTTCGGTGACAAAGTTGTAGGCCTATTGCAGTGGGGAGGCAGATTTTTGTAAATCTTATTTTCATTGAAGATCTTGATTGAAGTTATTTTAAAACAGTTTCACAAAAGATAGAGAAGTGCAAATTACCTGATTAAACATATACAGGACTCGAGTAACATCATTTGCATATTGGCACCGAGAATAGTCCTCTTCTGCCCAGAATCCTCCTCTGTCGCATCTGCGCCAAGCTCTTCTCTCATCCTGAGAGTTGCCAGGATATATCCCACTGCCAGCAGAGTAACGAGTACACAGTAGGTATGCAGTAATGCCTGCCAATGTTCTAGGCCACCTACAGAGTTGAAGGCAAAAGATTAAACAAATTTACATGACAAGTGTAAAAAATTGAGTAAATAAAAGAATTAAGCACTCTGATACCATATAAAAGACACTTCAGAATGAACTATCTGCAAACTATTTAAAAGGCCACATTGGCTAGCCTTCAGCATTTTCAGGCAATTTGTATCTGAATTTATTAACAAAAATGAGTTCTAATGTCAGTATTCTATTGTTTCTATTCTTTCATCAGTCTGCACACTGGAGAAAAAGAAAAGTTATATAAAAACTCATTAGAAAAGATTGCAGTTTTGCTTCAAATGGGAATTTACTCAATTTTTGCGGCAAGATTTCCAGATTAAGTGTTCTATAATTGAATGTGACATACACTATGAGATGTTCTGCAGCTTTTCTACTTGTTCTGCTCACATGTGTCAGTGTAACTCAGATTTACTCCATCTGTCTGCTGATTCTCAGCTGCAGATATCAACAGGAGACAGTTCAAAGTGAGCTGAAAGCAACTGGAGCAGCATCATATATCTACAACACAATTTTGATATTCTCTTATCGCACCATTTTCTGCTGTCACAGTGAATAGAAATTAATTTTCATGTGAGAACAACCTCTCATCTACATTGACAAGGTAAAGGGGGGAAAAAAAGGTTTCCTTGGAAGGAAACAGATGTTCTACACCCATATTTGGTTTGTGACCATGCTCCCCCCAAACAAAATTCTTTATCTCTAACCTTTACTTTCTTTTTTAAAGCATTAAAAAAATAGGATAATACAGAAAAAATGAAATGGCAACATTTCATTGCACTGATTAGTCACTCAGCATGTCATAAAGGAGTCCAAATGATATATTAAAATACACAGTTAAGCAGCCATGCTAATTAGCATATTTCCATCAATACGAACAATGGAAGATTTAAAAACCATGAAAAATATCTGGCATGTCAAATACTTCAAGGCCATCAACCCAACACAAACTTAATTAAAATGTGGTCCCCTTCTTGAGAATGAGCAATTGAAGTTTCTCTTGCCACCTCCACTTTTCTTCCTAGTAAGCAAATAGGACTAAAGCAAGCTTTCCTTGAACAGAATTAGGAATTAGCAGACTGATAAACAGGGACTGTTTTGGTTTTCAAACAGTCTGAAACCCAGCCATTTTCCCCTAAAGCAGGTAAAAAAAGTAATTTTAGACCTGAACTTTTTGTTCAGTAAATGATTACATATTTAATTACGACTATATCTGGTTTAAGATAATCTCAAAGTATGTCTAAATTTGAAAGGTACATTTCTGTGTCTGAAGAAGGAACAGAATGCACACACTAGAGGGGGTTCCACAAAAAGAGGAGGAGATGGAATTTGAGGATCATTACAGCTGTAGTCTTCATTTTCACTGGTAACACAGAAGAGTAACATTAGCTTCTGTCGCACATTGAAGGTCTTCTGTATCATCAAATTCCTACTTCTCTTCAAACGTGACCTTCCAGGCTTTTCAGTGGTGGGCAAGCAGATTTAAGAGCTGAAAAGCAAGTGTCTACCCTCACACATTTTGAAGAAGATATAGCAGGTTTAGGTGGAGACCTCTGACTAGAGCAACCCATAAATGGATAGGGACTTGATAGTTGGTATCATAGGGCCACCATTGGCCGTGATATCATAAAAGAATCTCAAAGCGAGTAAGAAGTCCAAAGGGGAAAACTGTATCAGTTGTTAGAGTACATCAAAATAGGAGAGGGAGGCTCTTCAATTTCAGTGGCAGTCAGAGGTCTCAACATTATGTGGTAATGAAGTGCTGCATCATTTTATGATGACATGATGCAATGTGGGAAAGAGAACAAGACTATATTTGTATATTGTGGCCATTGCTACAGTAGCCGAGAGCCCATAGGGACAAGAGAAGAAATTTATCTTAAAGAAATTCATTTCCCCAACAGCAGGCCCGTAACCACCCACACAAACATGGGCTTCCATCAACATTCATGCAATATGGGGAGCTGTTTAGAGTTGTTTATCATTCCCACCTTCATTTCTATAAATGCCATCATTTAGACTTAATCAGGATGGAAAACATGTACTGATGTCAAAACAAATCACTTTAAAAGCAGTGGTCCTCCAAGTGTGGCGTGAGCCTCCTTAAGAGGCAAGGAGGAACATCCACGGGGGCGTGCAGCAGGGACAGCCCCGAATGGGGGCAGGGAGGAAGTACCACATTTCCAGTCCCGCTCTGCCCCCCACACAGCTCCACCTCTAGCCCCAGCTCTGACCCCCAGCTTCTGCCCCCAGCTCTGCCTTCAACCCAAGCTCCATGGACAGATTCTGTTACTGGTAAGGGGGGCAGGACTGGAAAAGTTGGAGCAACACTGCTATAAAGGGATTGAGTAATGGGTAAAGGATCTTTCCCAGCACAGTTTTAACATTCCGGAACATGTTATGACAGTCCAAAAAACATATTTTATGCAAGAAGTGCATATAATTTCTCCTTTCCTTCTGTAGAGGAGTGGAAGCCAACAAGGAGACATCTTTCTTTAGACAGAGGAGATTCCCATCTGGGATACCTATACTTCTTCCATCAGGTGGTCCTAATGGGCAAGGCAGCTAGGAACTCCAAGAGTTCCTTAGCCAAGCACTAAGATCCTCCTTATGCTCTCTATTTCAGAGTCTACTGTCTGTATCACAGTAGGTAAGGAGAAAGGGGAACTCCTCTAAAATCTTTTAGCAGAGCAAACCTTTACTGGGAGAGTAACCCCAGAACTTAACGTTACTGAAGTCCAGCCATTTTCGTGTGTCCAGCCATTGCTAGCTGAAAATCAAATACCACATAACTAGGAATAATCTTAGGCCCAGAAAGGCAAGGTTAAACAGCTGCATATTTGCAGTTCTGCTAATCAGAATGGGAGGATGGGACAGAGTTAACGGACCATAAGAACGGAAGGAATGTTCGGATAGTCAACCTTGGTTAAGTGCCCCTAACATATACATTTTATTGTTATGGATATCTCTTATCATTCACGCATTTCTAATGAGTAGTTTGCTGAAATTAGGAGAATTGGTGACCCACCAGGTTACTATGGTGACCCACTAGGAGTCACTATGAGTTGTGTGTTCTGTTAGTTATAAAAGATTAGGCAAAAGGATACACTTTGGAGCTGTCTGAGGAAGCTTTTCATTGGGCAAGGATCTGGCACCTAAACTCCCCAGCACCTGAATGGAAGGAGGGTTCACGGAAGGCTGGTTGCTGATTCCTCGAAGCTATCTCAGACTTTGGGTAAATATAAATGTCTGGAATGCTCTGAACCTATTGTGAAAGCATATATGTATGTGTGTGCTTCAGACTTAATAAATTTTTTTTAAAGAAAAGCACTCTTGTTTGTACCAATCATTTATCAGACAGAAGAGGTATGTCCCCATTGATTTATTCCTGACATCTTCTTAAGAGAAACAGTTAAGTTACCACTGCTTTGGGTTCTGAGAACCGTGGGTAATTTTCAAACCAACTTATCTTTTATATTAAGATATATGAATAGCTGAAGGATTTATTGAAACAGAAAAGCTGGTATATATATTGATATACATATGATTTACATTTAATAGTCATGAGTAATAACTTATTTCAAGGTTTTGTTTGTTTTTTAAATAAGACATATTAAACAACACCTACTCATGGAACAGTTGTATTTATGAAGACAATGTTGAACTGGTCTTCATAAATTCACAAGTCAATCAAACTACCGCTAAATGAACCAAATACAAATATTCCTCTGCCCTATCCTGCATATGCTATTTTTTGACTGGGCAAGAACTGCATTTCAGGTCGCCTACTTCACTGTTGAAACAAATTCTAAGCAGAAACAACCAGCCACTTTCAACTATATCCTATCTGACTAAACTAAAAATTATAAAAGTAAATTCACCTAGGAACATTTACAGCCATCTGCTCAGAATAATTTCCTCTTTGAGTCAAAGCCTGATTTCCATATAGTCTCAAAGGTGAAAAATTCCCCTATTATTACTGTTTCAGTACTACAAATGGAAGTCTGCTATAGTAAGCCCAGCTATAGTGAACCCCCTGATAGAATGAGAATTTTCTGAAACCCTATTTCCTTCCAGTGAATTCCAGAGGGGCAAAATCCTATTACAGTGAACAATCACTGAGCAGCACAGGTTAATTTAATGGAATACACTTTAAAATAAGCCTTTACCATCTGTTTCTACCTCTAATGGCAAATCAGAAAAGAAAAATTCACAATTGTATCATAAAAAAAAACATAAGTGATTTAAATGACTGTGTATGTTCTTTAATGAATACAGCTCGCATCTGTTCAATTTTCTTCACTTTTCAGACTCAAGACAGGAAGTAAACTCCTATTCCCCAATATAATACATTTTCCCTAACAAACAGAAATCACTAAGAGGAAGATTTTTACTGTGCTCCTTTATTTTCACATTACACCGTTATTATTGAATTTATCAGTAATTCCATTATGGAGCTTGATCATACAAAGTATTCTTTAGACCAATACTTACGTCTCAAACTATGAATTTTAGCTCAGTGAAAGTACTTTTAGACATTATAAAAATGCATTAGAAGTTTTAGTTTGAGAAATACAAATAAATCCCTTTTTCCCCTAGTCAAAACATAAGCTAGTTTTAAGATTTTTTTTTTAATTGTCTGGCACTTAGTCCTGTATATGCATCTCTACTTTCTATTTTTTTTAAATTGACAAATACAGCAAAAGAGTTTCCTATATGCTTGCATGACTGTAGCTATTTTGGGAGTCAGTGTAAACCCTTAACTAGCAAATATTAACAATGAAATAAACAGGCTTATTAACTGAGTCTTATAATAATATATGGAGATATCCTATCTCCTAGAACTGGAAGGGACCTTGAAAGGTCATCAAGTCCAGCCCTCTGCCTTCACTCGCAGGACCAAGTATCCCTAAGCGGCCCCCTCAAGGATTGAACTCACAACCCTGGGTTTAGCAGGCCAATGCTCAAACCACTGAG